TTAGGTTTGGGTTAGCACCCCTGAAGAAAATGGCGGACCGCGAGGATGGGGCACCAAGATGGCCGACCGCGAGGATGGGGCACTCATACTACTCCTGGGGTGATAATTTGTGATAACGGGTCTCAGTATAAAAATGCTGAAATGGCTAAATTTGGAGAGAGTTTTGGTGCGAGACTTCTCCTTAACTACCCTTATCACCCCTAGGCCAACCCCACTGAACGAGTTAATCGAGTACTCAAAACCATGATTGCTTCGTATGTAAAAGATAACCACCGTTCACGGGATAAAAACCTACATCAGTTTGCTAACGCAATTAACAGTGCTTGTCATGAAGCTACAGGTTTTACTCTGCGTGAAATTCTTTTTGGGTCCGACTGGAAAAATAACGGTATATTTAATCAAGTTGAGATTACTGAACATTTGCCTGAGATTCATCGTCCCACTGTAGTCCCTGAGATTCTATCTAAATTTCAGCAAGATATTGTAAAACGACTAGACAAAGCTTACGAGAAAAAAAAGTGCATTACAATTTGAGGAGGCGTTATGCTGTATATAAGCCTGGCGGTACAGTTTATCGTGCCACTCATTTACAATCTGCTGTGAAATATTTCTCTAAGAAGTTGGCTCCTAAGTATGACGGACCATTTGAGGTTGTAGATAGGGATCACATGCAAGGATATCTGATCAAAGGAAAGGGTGGAAAAGTTGAGGGTCCTTGGCATTTGACTCATCTAATAACTCCTGGAGAATTGGAGTGGCTCTAAATTGTTTTAATTTCTTCTTGGCTGAGCGATTAGCGAAGTCTATTACTCCACCATGGAGTAGAACTATAATGGAGTAGCAACTAACGTAAGTACGTTGAAATGTGTGCCGCGCCGGCTGGCGAAGCTATCTCCTCTGAAGCCAATGTGCTTAGAAATCTCACCCACTCAGTTTTTGGAAGCCTGTGGTCTACTGCAGCTAATGATGCCCTTGTTTTGAGTGAAGCATCATTCAAACTGGAGCTACGACGCCTGGAACGCCGCAGATCCGTTTTCGCCCATGTGCCAGCCATGTATGTAGAGAGAGACAGACAGAGCTAGGGTCATGAATGTCCATGAAATGATAACCGTTTGACTCTGCAGCGTTCAGGGTCTTCACGGTTGTGTACAAAAAGAAGAATTTAAAGTAAAAACTTTTAATTCAGTGGCCCTATTTGAAGAAATATGACCCTCACTCTGCACACATTCCAACGTACTTAGTTGCTTCTCCATTACAGTTCTACTCCATGACTCCACTGACCGGAAAAGTTGCATTCTGTTTGTCTGTTTGTTTGCCTGTCCGCACGATAACTCGAAAACGAATTGAGAGAGCGACCTGGGAATTTCAGGGTCGTTTTGTATCACAAAAAGACAGATCGAGTTCGAAGATGAGCATTGTAGCTCAAAAATTGACTCTTAAAAAAATCAAAAACCACAGGTCGCAAAATATTTTTTTT